CATTTTATCGCATTTCTTCATTCAGAAGAAAAGCAAGCGGTTCGGAGTAGTTTTCTGCATTCCTTATGCCGGTCTCAAAGAAGACGAGAGTTTGGAGTACTGCATGCAGGAGGTGGACATCGACGACATCCTTTCCTACACTGACCTTTATCGCCACGCAGTGTGTGAGAAGGATGACGTTCTTGTACCGGCAAGTCTTCTTCAACCCCGTAATGGTGAAGGAGCGCGGTCGGAGGCGCTGATGGACCCTCCTTTTGCCGGGCAGCCCTACGTTCTTGCCGTGGTTCATAAGGGATTTGAGCCTCGCTCGTCTCGTACGCCTTTCTGATTATTCCTTAAATGGTCGCTATTGCACCACCACCATAGGAGGACGAGAAATTACAAACCATGCGATCAACCTTAAGGTATATTTTAGGTTTCTGAAGTCAAATGGTGTTTAAGAGAAAAGAATCTGACAATTCAATTCCTGCATAATTCGCTGTTAACAGTAAAATTTCAATTCGCTGAAAGGCATTGGTACGGTTGTACAATTCTGCAACACCTCGCCTTGCATCGTCGACGGTGATGAATTGATAACTTCCAAGCTGCTAGAACTATCAGTGACCAATCCAGAAGAGGTCCACACCGTTCTTTGGGAGTGGTGTGTCGACCACCTAAAAGCAAATAAATTACACTACATTCATACCGGACATAGTTTGGTTGTATAAATCATCGTCGCCACTCGACCATCGTCTTTAACATTCCTCCAGCAATTCAACAGTATCTTATCACAGTCACATTTGGAATCACTGTTCAAGGATTGTCATCTTCTGCTCTTACTTAGGTACTTTACATCGATGTGACAGAATTTCACCACCTCTCTTTGTACACATCGCAACTGGTGACTGTTCTGGTCAATGGTGAATGGGGCGGCACTTACCAACACATTTGCTTGCCACTTTATAAGGCGGGTGGCACCTACGGCGTAACATCACTTGGCACTCGTAGGAAATCCGGTGTCTTAATTTGCTTTCTAACAAGTCACAAATGGAGCCTATATTTTGCGCTCCCATTTCTTACTACCTATAATTTCTTCTTGGACTTCTTAATTGGGCGTTTCCTCTTCTCATTCCTCCATTGTCACCTACAACATGGGGGAGTTATTTGTTGACGTCTGTTTTCTTGCTTGTTAATGGCGCCTCTTGGAGTGAGAAAAAAGCATATGCGTAGAAAAGGGAACATTTTTATTTACTTCCATTGTAATTAAAGTCGTGAAAATAAACCACACAGTGTGTGTGCTCTGGGGTTGTCGTAGAGGCTGTGAAGCTGAAAATCACAAAGCTGCAGAACGATTAAAGAATTGTTTGCAAGCTTTTGGCATGGCCTTAAAAGGCATGGCAAATGACCAAGTCATGTTGGTCTATTCCTTAGGAGGAGGAAGAGTCGGATCACCAAGTCGCAAGACGGCCTCGCTGGTGGTGAAAGTAACAGGAGTTGAGCAACCTCGTCTTTGTGCCATTCCTGCGGGTTGCGCTCTGTGGATACCAGAGAAACAGGCACGTGTGCTCTATAGTCAGCAGTGTCATTTCTATGACCAAAAGGCGAGCGACAGGCGCGATGTGAGTCCGTTCCATGAGGAACACGAGTCTCTTTGCATGCATGGTGGACCCAACTCACCCAGTCATCGCACCAACAACGGAGATACTAACAGCCAGCACTCATACAAGAGCTCCGAACTCTTCCGTAGGTCTGTGGATAGTGCAGAATCTGTCTCCTCCTCCTTCTCCTCCTTGCATGCGCATCGGAGAGGACGCTCTTCAGGAGGCAGAAGTCGTACAGGTAATTTGCATATAAGCAAATAGAGAACATGTCCTCATGCTACTACTATCTGGTTCGCATTACATGGAGCAGTCCAAACACAGGGACTTGGATGATGCTTAGCAAAGGCAGTTTGGGTATGCTACAGAGTGCAAGGAAGAAACGTTTTCATGCCAAAAAAGACTTGCTTCACAAAAGCAACATCACTAAAAAATAACATGACAGTTGTTTGGAAAATTAGCAAAATTAAATTTTTAAATTTTCCATACCACTGTAGTTCGTTAGAAAAATACAGTCTCTGCGGTTTTGTTAAGAGCATTCCGAAAACGGCAGCCTAGAAACCAAATCAGGAGAAATATTAGCGCGTATTTGTATAAGACCTGCTAGTCTCTTTGAGGAGACTGTGGTTTGTTAAATCATTGCTCCTCTCACTCTTGACTGTCAGAACAGGTTGTCTTAAAGAGTTGAGGTAGGCTAGCTTGAACAAGCATTTGGGGGGTTGTCTTCCAAAGTCAAAGCATTACCACCACCACTACTACCACTACTATTATTATTACTATTGTGGTA